ATAATCTTGTGACAGCGGCTTAGTGAAGTGAGTCATTGCTATCGTTAAGTCAAAGCTGATCTTAAAATTGAGCGTGTGGAGTTGACGTTGGGTAGGTGAAATTGAGTTGTGCAATGTTTTTTAGGCAAATCTGACGTCTTTCTATTTACCGACGATGACTACGAGTTCAACGCAAAGAATGTGCTGAATCAACTGAATAATCTGACAAAGTCGGATCGTCGCCAACTGCTCAGTGGGAACCTTATGATTCGACCGGGCGTGATTCGTCCGGTCAAGGACGGCAGTGGAAATAAGTGGGCTGTGTCTCGATATGAGGTCCCGTGGTCGCAGTACTCACCGTACCCTAGCGGAGCGGCGACGTTTGTCGGTGCAGATGTACTTACGGAGCTGGTCGTAGCCGAAGCCTACACGCGCTTCCTGTATGTGGATGATGCATTCATGGGCTTCGCCGTAGCTAAATTGCCGCATCTGCGTTTCCACAGCTTGAAGGACTTCTACCTCAAATCCACCAATAGCCAGAAATCTCTCATAGCAAAATCACCCGTCAGGTTCTGAATGGATTGGTTTGTAGACAGCGTGAAATTATTTTTGTAGTGTCGCGCTTTTGTAGGCCGTCTTTCTTCGGAATAGCGCCAGCAGCTGCTTTGTATAAATGACGGACTATAGGCTTTTGACGGACTATAGGCTGGTCTTCCGTCCGAAATGACAGGTCCCATACGCATCGTTACCACTTGTTGACGCTGAGTCAGAACGCCTCAACACGAAGGCGTCCCTTCCCCGGTCTCGTGCTCAGCCTGGGCTGCCCCAATCGTTGTGGTAAGAAAGGCCAATGGTTCAATCCGGGTATGCGGAGACTTCTCCACTGGTCTAAATGCAGCTCTGGAAACACACCACTATCCTCTACCAGCCCCAGAGGACCTATTCACAATTCTGAATGGCGGAAGATATTTCGCAAGACTTGATCTTGCCGATGCCTGCTTACATCTAGAGGTCGGTCCGTGGTCCCGCCTACCGCTGACCATCAATTTCCATCTCGGTTTGCTCCAGTGCAACAGCCTACTCATCGGAGTCAAGACCGCTCTTGCTTTTTTCTAGCAGTTCATGGACACCATCTTGGCTGGCATTCCTCGAGTGGCAGTATACGTCGACGACCTATTAATCGTAGCTAGTTCGCAAGATGAGTTACGCAAGCGGATCGAAGAAGTCCTCCAACGGATTCAAGACAACGGACTCAGACATTGGCATGAAAAATGCGAGTTCTTCTTGACTTCAGTCAAATATCTGGGTTTTATTGTTGACGACTCTAGTCGGCATCCGGATCCTAAGAATATCCGTGCTATTCAATAAATGCCGACTCCCAAAGATGTTCCATCACTGCGCTTCTTCTTGGTCTAATCAGCTATTACTCGGCTTTTCTACCGTCAATGCACAATGTCCGACCACCTCTGAATCACTTGCTTGAAAAGGACGTACCTTGGGTTTGGTCCAACGAGTGAGAGGTGGCCTTCTGTCAAATTAAGTTTAATGCTCAGTTTGGGCCTGCTGCTGAACCACTACGATCCAAGTCTACAAACTGTTGCTGCAATTGACACCTCCGCCAAGGGCATTGGAGCTGTCATCGTATGCGTCTTTCCCGACGGCTCAGAAAAGGCCATAATACACGTATTTATGTTGCTGACAACGACAGAACAGCGTTACGGACAGATTGAGAAAGAAGCTCTCGCTTTGGCTTTCACTGTCCGCCGTTTCCACAAACTCACTTATGGCTAACGATTCACTTTGCTGACAGTCAGAAGCCACTGCTGTCGATTTTTGGATCAAAAACAGGCATCCCAGTTTACTTTGCAAACCGCCTGCAAAGGTAGGCACTTATTCTACTGGGTTATGACTTTGAAATCCAGTACCGTTTGCACAGAGGATTTTGGGCAGGTAGAAGCCCTATCACGTCTCACCAGTAACCAGCTTGCTACCATGGATGATGCTGTCATCGCTAACATCTACGTTGACAAATGTACACTCAGCAGATATCTGAAACAGTTCGTGCGCTAACGGTTGCGATTTTTGACATCAAACCGAAAACTGCACACTACGGCAAGCCATCCGTTGCGTCCAAGGCAAATAGCCAAAACACTTCCCCACCGGAGATCTTCAGCAGTTGTTCCAGCGACGCGATTCCCTCTGCGTTATAGACGGCTGCATGATGTTCGGAGAACGCGTTTTAGTGCCCGAATCACCAGGCTTGCGAGTTCTTCGTTAATTTAATACTGGCCATCCCGGCATCAGTCGCGTGAAGTCTATCGCCCGCTGTTACGATCACTAGCCAAATATGAATAAGCAAATTGCAGACCTAGTCAAGAGTTGCAGCCAATTCTAGCAGGCTACCAAGACCATGGCACGACCAATGGATTGAGGGGACGATTGCACGTCCGACGTGACGGTGGCTCACGACACTTGGTAAAGGCATAGAAACCAACTTCGATTGAGGAAAGATTCTGCTACTCCAAATCGCCAGACCAGCTTCCGGCAGGATGTGCTATTCTACACATTCCAGCTTCCGCCACGGCTAACAACGCTAGTGAAAACTAACAGAAATTAACTTGCACCAGGCACGTCTACACTCCCAAGAGAGTGTAGTCAAAAACGACGGAAACCACCACTAATCAAAGTCGACTCAAATAAGAAGCGTTACTCGCTTTTCAAGGAAGCGAGGTGTTGGGGATTCACGATGCCCTAAGATTGCTCATCGCCGATTTTTTTCATCCTTTACAACCCTGACTTGAATTAGTGTATGCTTTTGACAACTCACTCGCACGCGGCCGACGCAATTATGGCTCTCAACACGAATTCTGGTCTTGTTCTTGTATTAACTTGAAAACGTCGATTATGGAGTCTCCAAGAGATCTGGTACAGTTATCTGAGTAGGTGTTTTCCTTTGTTGCGGGCAATCATAACAGGTTGTCAAATTT